TTAGTATTACCCTCAAACAGCCAACCAAACACCAGCCCAGGCAATAAAGGCTAGACCACTAGTTCAATAAATTAGTTCAATAAAATAATTAATTTAATATAAATAGCTTTGGGCCACCAACTTTGCTGAGCATCACTGTCCACCAGGCTGCTCATCCAATATCTAATTTATTCCTGCTTGCAGTCCCAGACAACAAAGATTACACGCTCAAGTGAAAGTTGAGTGAGAATATATCCAAGGCTTGAACCAATTTACAGAGTAATACTACAAACATACACGATCATACAACACCATGCAAGCAATAATCCACCTTCACGATGCAAGCGTACAATAATATACGGATAAGTCACATCATCATATTACATTGTTATTAGTTAGGAATCATTGTAGCTCAATCATTTATTCATTGCTATTAACCTATGACAGCTAAGACTCATTCTTAACAGCCTAGAGTCATGGGCATCCAAGCACTGCCTGGAGCCACACTCGAAAGCTCAAAGAACTTCTTTGAGGTGGGTTAGAGCCCCTCTCTAGCACTACCACACAGGTCAGATTTTCAGGCCTCAGATTTATGTCAAGGTATTTAGAACAACTCAACATACACATTAAAACAACAATAAAATTCTATTCACGCTCCTACACCAATTTCATAGTAACTCAAGAAACAATTCATCAAATTCAAAAAACAAACCCCAAGACATAATCAGCCGTTTGAACAAATATGAATATTGTGTTGTCTTATAAATTAATCTTAACCGTAGATATATGACATCATGACTCACCACGATAAATATACCAGTTAAAGCAAACAAATCCACGACGAATCAAAAACGGGACAAATCAGCGATGCAACAACAGACAACGACCACTAGCAGCTTCACGCAGCACGGACTAAACTTCATTGCCGCTTCAAAGGATCGATCCCCCTGCTCTGATGGTTGCTTATTTTTCTGCACGTAATACTCCTTAATCTGAATAACTCCCTTTTAATCGATACATGTGTATATATGAAGAGTGCACAGTAGGTTTAGATATATTATTATTATAAAATAAAAATCTTTATATTTATTTATTCTATTACAACGTCTATTTTATTATCGAGACCTACAATTGGATATAAATTTGATAATAAAGAGATTACTTTGAAAATATATTATTTTAGCCCTATCTGTTTAACCTTTATTTAATTTAGGAAAAAATCAGAATTACAATTTATCAAAAATTCCATTATAAAATTCTAGGGTATATTTTGGCACGCTACAGGTCGTGGGACACGCGCCTAGTTCTGCGAGAATATTTAGAAGATTAAGCACAGAATCCTCTGTTCGAAGCTACCATACATCACTCCTTATATAGGTGATTTTTTAAAAGTATCTTGATTACTTCATTTAGAATGACTCGTTTAATGTTCAACAATCATTAAAAAATATTTTATGTGTTAACCTCATCATTTTCAGGAGTCACTATCGTAATGATAAACGGAAGGGAATGACCGAGATACCAACACCACCTGCATAGTGACCGTGCTCACCTTATAAATAGGTTGTCCCATTGAAACTAAGTACCTGTCATTTTGGGTTTTCCTTCATAAGACCTTTCTACCACAAGGGCTTCAAACCTATTCTTGCTACTGTAAGTTCGTCGGGGAGCAGCGCAAATCACCAATTGAAAGCTATGCAAACAAATCAATCAATTATGCTGTAGAGAAAATACTGCAGCACTGTCAGAGTAACAAATGATAGACAGTGTGCTATAGCACTTCTCTGTCACAAACACACACAGAAGCAGATGATGTAGAGGGCGTTACAGTGCCTACTGGGCAGAATGTTGTAACTATAAAATGCGTAAAAAAAATAACACCAGATATGTTTACGCAGTTCGGAGCAAATTCTCCTATGTCTGCGGGGCCCACGTCCGTGTAATAGCCCTCCACTAAATCACTAGATGCAAGTTACACCGGTACATAACAACATGATGAGACACACTTCTCCGAATTGTTTTGACAAAACTTCTAATATAGGATTTCTAACTCGTACCCTGTACAGATCCGCTTCGGCTATCACATCTCCACCGAGATCACAAGGACAAACGTGTTGGCAGCCCACTCGTTCAGCTCTAGTTCATCTCCTGGATGTCACGATCTATTTAGCATTGAAGATCTCGTCCTTCATGTAGATCGTAACCTTCTTCACGCATGGGAAGCTCCGGGATGCGACAGGAATGCTCTACATCAGCGTATATTCTTCGTTTTCCCTCTCGATCGCTCCAAGTAATTCCCAAGGACCTGCTGCGTTTTTATAGGATTCTCTTAACACAATTCTAGTAGGAATAGGTTCGTAGAAGTTGGCTTGAACTCAACTTCCTTAATCTTGATCCACAAGTAGCCTAAAGAGTTGGGATTCCTTAACAAGTACAGCTGGAGTTATTATCATGTAGTCACAATCTCAATAGGTCTCTAATTCAGATTGCAGCTTAAAATCCCGTACTTAGACCTCTGATCCCGCACACTATGTTGCAGCATTGTGCTGGAGCATCTTTTGTGTCAACCTCGAAAACTGCAGCAACTCTAGAAGTCTAAATAAAATAAACCTCTCCTAACAAATAGAGGTTTCTACCTAGTAAAACACCTAACAAATATGGGATTCTATTTTGCCAAAAGTCTAGCCTACACCATGGAACTAACAATCTCCCCCTTTGGCAATTTTTTGGCAAAATACATCGTGCACCATGCGCATAAATGATTAAAGCATCTTTTAAGAACTAAGCCTTTTCTCCCCCTTTTTGACACAAAATATGCCAATCTCATTTTGGGTAAAAAAGAAAAGTAATACTAAGTTATTTTAAGAGCATACAACAATAATAACAAATAAAATCTACCATTAAGATCCATGCACATGCTTCCCATCTGAATTTTATGCCTGGAGCTCCATCCCTTTTTGCAATTTACTCCCCCTCAGGATATGCGGGTGTTTAACAAACCGTTACAACCTGAGAACTCGAGTCCCACGAGCCTCAACAATACTTGCTCGGAGATACCGCACTCCAAGACTTCAACCCAAAGGAAAATACCTTTCCTTCGTACAACCAAGGGAAACAAGCTTCCCTTAACGTGTATACAACACTAAGCACTCAAGAACAAGACTCTCTTTAAGAGTAGATGATGAGTAAACTAAGTACGCTCAAGAACAACTCAAACTTCACACAATTTGGCTCTAGAAAGCTATGGAAAATGATGTTATATGAATGAAATGATAATGTGTGTAATGTGAAGTGAATTGATGTGTAAAGCAGACCCAAACACCCCTTTTTATAGTGCCAAAATAGGCTCCAACGGACCAATACATTAAAGGGGTGATTGGCTTGATTTATGGGATTGAATAAATATGGGATCTGCAGGATATTTGCTTCCCATCGATGTTTGGAACTTACCCATCGCTGGTAAGCCAATTTTCCTTCAGTTTTGAAGCCAACGGTTGCCTACCCATCGATGGGTACTAGCTTCCCATCGCTGGGTGGGAGGTTGACTTCCAAACAAGGAAAGAATCAACCTTAAATGACTACCAACGGTCATGCCTTCCCATCGATGGTTAAGCCTTCCCATCGCTGGGTTCCCATCGATGGGTAAAGCTTCCCATCGCTGGGTAAGGGTGATAAGTTCGTTTTGTACGCACTTATCTTCTCTATATTTAATGTGTTATTGTCTAATTTTGGATTAAACAAATCAATTTCTCAATGGTTTTTATATCTTTTATTTATAATTGCAAAAGTGTACAAAAGTTATGTCTTGTTGTAAAAAGAATAAAAATTGAGTCAAAAGTGGTACAAAAAGGTAAAAGATTGTGCAAATAGAATGCAACGGAGCAAAGAGATTTGTTCGGAATTTGAAGTCGGCACAGAAGGAAAAGTTGTTCAGAATAAAATTTTGAGCAAGTGTGTATTTTTAGAAAATATTTTAGGACCGGATCAAAATCCGGCCAACCAGGTGCTGCCACGTGGCGCAACCTGGCTGGCCGGCCGATTGTGGAAGCAGGGACATTTTGAGGCAAGTCAGATTTGAGGAATCAATAAACAAATTGATGAAAGTAAAGAAGGAAGCAAGCTAACGCAAGTAAGAAAGAAACAAAAAAAAATATAAAGGAGAGATTGCATTCATTGGATAATTAGAGCCGTCAGCCGCACCTCCTCCCTTTTCAGCACAGGCGTGCGCCTAGACCTCAGGCCCACGCATGTCAGAGGCCTGGACCGAAATTTTCTCCTATAAAAGGAGGGCTTCGCCCCTTCATTTACATCAAGCCTTCTTCCGGGTCTTTTAAGGCCCGGACCCAATTTCTAGCTCCCGTTCTCAATTATATTTTAATATTTTAGTTTAGTTTTGTTCCGGTTATCCCAAAGTGGCTCCGACTCTGCTCTCTGTTGTAAGTTTAAATACTTGCAATTTTAATAAAATGTTCTTTTCTTTTATGTTCTGTTAATATCTAGTATGGGTTAGGACTCAGATTAGGGTCTTGGCTAAATTTGGGCATATACTCTGTATGTTTATTTAATAGTTGGAATAATTGTTCTAGAATTATTTTTATTGTTAAATTAATTAGTTATGTCGAGAGAAAAATTAATTAATTATTGGAAATTAGTTTTTGCCTTGTCTATGAGGATATAAAATTAATTAAGCCAAACTTTTTTAGAACACATTAATTTTGCCTTGAGAAAGGATAAGTTAATGAAATATTTGTGATAGAAATATTATTATTCCAATTATTGATTAAATATGTGACAACAGTAGTTAACTCACATGATGCCTTGGCCCGAAGTCTAGTCCTATACCCGTACTATTTATTTTCTTTTTCTTAAAAGCACCCGGTAGTTTAGTTTACTTTCAAATCAAATCGAGAAGACTTTCAGACCCGTCCTAACCTTCGTCTAGTTAGAAAAATTAGCTAATTCCCTTCGTCCACTCCTCGAGAGACACGACACTCGGAGAATACTAACCCTTCATTGGGAAGGTTGACTTACCGAAAAAACTCAATCGTCAAATGGCGCCGTTGCCGGGGAGTGGCACGGTTTTAGTTTAATTTTTTAATTAGCTTGGGTGAAGACCGGTTAGGTCGATCTTCTCACCTCTTTTTCACAAGCCACCCGTAGTAATCATTAAAAATGAATTTTCGAGATGATTACTACGATCCACCTCCTTTCTACCAACCACCCAACCATCCACCATCATTTTCCCAACAGTCCAATTCCTATCCACCATCACCACCACCATATTATCCACATCAAGATTCATATTATGATGACTACTCAGTCAATAATGGACCTGATTATTATCCATACCATGAGGAACCACCATATGATACCCCGTCTCAGAGCTTTGGATATTCTCCATACCAAGACAACTGTGGGGATTATTATGAATCTCATGGTGATCAAGATGATTATGACGAACAAGGGCCAATGTACGATGACCAGCTAGATCCACTTATTGAAGAGATTTTGTGGACTGAGAAAAGAATACTTTATCTTGACCTAGCATTAGTAATGGAGTGTTCATTATTTGAACCACGCTATTGCCGTGATTACTCTCTGACTCGTGAAGAGCAAATCGAAGCAAACAGAGATGCAATCCAGGCGAGAGAACGATTTCTCAAAACAGTCCAAGAAGAACGCCAACTGCTCCAAACCCAGAAAGATAACGAACAACGCGAATATTGGGAGAATATGCAAAAGATGCTGGAGGATTTTAAGAAGGCTATGGAACAACAAGAAGAGATGGAGGAAATTGTTGTTCTAGAAGAGGATGAAGAATCTGAGACAAAATCTGAAACTGAATCCAACAATGTCTCAATTCTTGAATACCCACAAACTCCATCACCACTGTATATCAAAAACAAGATAACACTTGCAGAAATGATTGCACGAGGTACAGTGGTGATGCTTCCTGAAAGCCCACGAAGTTTAATCGTACAAGATGTGAAGCCTACCGAGGGTCCTGTCTCGGAACCGCCTTCACCAGCTGCACCAGAAACGTTGGAGGAACCTGTCCTCCTAACATGTGTTGAAGACACTTCTCCAGAGGAACCTGTTCTGGAGAAATCTGAGCCCACCACCAACCCCCTTTATACTGATGAGTCTGAACAACCTATAGACGAGGAACTACCCTGTGATGCTGAGTCCATTCCGTCTATATGAGTTCTTAATATTGAAGTCTCACCGGAGGATCCAGACGAAGCCTTCTTTGACTCCCTACTTGACGGGTACAACCATTCTTACCCGAAGGAAAGTTATAGTCAAATAAGCTCGGACGAACTTTTGACGAGCGACACTGAAGACTCAGGGGAAGGCGATGCCGTAATCATCGAACCACAAATAGAAAGTCAGCCCATTGGGGACTTGGAAAGTCAAATCCTGGCATTAAAGGCCAATGATGTGGATACACCGAGGAGACTCCCACCACCACCCATCCAAGATGAGTCTCCTCCATTTTTCCTATTGCCACCAAGCCGCAAGAATGAGTCAAAGATCCTAGACTTTGACTACAAAAGAACAGAACAAAGGTGGCATCAGAAGAGAGTCAAAAAGGTCAAACTTTATGACTCTCGGATCGGTAAGTCCCGTAAAAAACGGGCTAACGTCAAGCTAGTGACGTTAAAGAAGCGCTTCTTGGGAGGCAACCCAAGTAAATAAATTTTATTTTTTTTCTTTTTCCTTTTTATGCGTTTTTGTGTGTTTGTGTGTGCAGGTGAAGCTTGGAATTAGGAATGCTGGTGAACCATTTTGACTCAACAAAAAAAAAAAGAAATGGCTAACTTTTGTGCATAAAATTTTTGTAAAAAAAAAACATTTTCAAAAGAAAAAAAAATTGAGAATGGTCTCTGTCCCAAACTCTTGTTTTTATCGCTTAATGACCTCGAGGACGAGGTCAACCCTAAGTGTGGGGAGATTGGAGTTTGGTACAGAATGTTTTTATTTGTGTAGGAAAACTTTTTGAAAATATTTTTATACACTTTGTTGCATTTTGTATATTAATAGTGATCTATGCACTGTGTACGGAATGACTGTCTAAGCTGGAATGGTACTTAAGTGGACACAAAGAGTGACGCCTTCGGGAGCCGAACTTGTCCCACCATTCCTACTGGGTCATTTCGTAGAAAGGTTTATTCGGGTGAGCCTAAGAGCACCTAATTGGCAGCAATCTGCCCGGTCCCGAATACTCTGAATCGGTCTAGTTATCACTATTGATACTTTTAAAATTGTTTTACACTTTTTACTCTTTTCATAGGTAGAATTATTTTTAAGAGCCTCCTTATGCAAAAAAAAAAATAGCCAAAATTTTAAAATTTTTCTTTAAATTGCACATATAGTCTTTTTATTGGTTAACTTTAATAAGTTTTGTAAATAAATAAATTTGGATACTAATGTGTAAAAAAAATCATTGTTTTAGTGAATAAATATTAACTCGTAAAATACGTTAAGGTCAAACATTTGTAACTTGTCATATAAAATGATGTTGTTTCGCTACCTCAACTTGAGTATGAGGAGTATATTTTTCTGAAAATTTGATATTTCAATGATTGCATTGTAAGTTTTGAAAAAAAAATCAAGAATCAAAAAGTTCAAAGAACATACTTTGGCGAGACCAAGTTCTGGAGTGAATTCAAAGTCAAAAAGCATTTGGTTCTATGTCAGATGATGAGACTTATATTGAAGTTAGTGCCAAAAAGCATGCGGTTCTATGTCGTGTGATGAGGTTTTTGAGTGAATAAAAATCCAAAAAGCTCGTGGTTCTATGTCATGGGATGAGGATCAAAGTTTTTGCTTGTGTCAACATGACAAAGTGATGTTCTACAAAAAAAAAATCGAACTTACTCTTTGCATAGGAATAAATGATAATTTCAGAAAAGTTTTTTTATTTTGTTTTTTTTCAATGTACCTCTTTTTGACCTTAAATTATTTTGCAGTTATTATAAAACACTTACAATTCTTTTGTTTTAGACTTTAGTATCCAAGTTCGTAAATGGACAACTTTTACATTTAGCCAATAAAATTAATTTATGTGCATCTTTTAGGAAAAAAATAAAAATATTTTGCTAACTTTTTTTGTAAAAAGGGTGCTATTTCTAGTAGTTCTATTTTTGTAAAGATTAAATAATGTAAAAGAATTTTGTGTAACAAATTGATTAAAAATGTGGTCAATAGTTTTTCCAAAATATTTTTGTAAATAAGTGTTTGATCCAAAATTTCTTTTGTTGTTGTACTATGTTGCTTGAGGGCAAGCAACGCTTAAGTGTGGGGAATTTGATAAGTCCGTTTTGTACGCACTTATCTTCTCTATATTTAATGTGTTATTGTCTAATTTTGGATTAAACAAATCAATTTCTCAATGGTTTTTATATCTTTTGTTTATAATTGCAAAAGTGTACAAAATGTATGTCTTGTTGTAAAAAGAATAAAAATTGAGTCAAAAGTGGTACAAAAAGGTAAAAGATTGTGCAAATAGAATGCAATGGAGCAAAGAGATTTGTTCGGAATTTGAAGTCGGCACAGAAGGAAAAGTTGTTCAGAATAAAATTTTGAGCAAGTGTGTATTTTTAGAAAATATTTTAGGACCGGATCAAAATCCGGCCAACCAGGTGCTGCCACGTGGCGCGACCTGGCTGGCCGGCCGATTGTGGAAGCAGGGACATTTTGAGGCAAGTCAGATTTGAGGAATCAATAAACAAATTGATGAAAGTAAAGAAGGAAGCAAGCTAACGCAAGTAAGAAAGAAACAAAAAAAATATAAAGGAGAGATTGCATTCATTGGATAATTAGAGCCGTCAGCCGCACCTCCTCCCTTTTCAGCACAGGCGTGCGCCTGGACCTCAGGCCCACGCCTGTCAGAGGCCTGGGCCGAAATTTTCTCCTATAAAAGGAGGGTTTCGCCCCTTCATTTACATCAAGCCTTCTTCCGGGTCTTTTAAGGCCCGGACCCAATTTCTAGCTCCCGTTCTCAATTATATTTTAATATTTTAGTTTAGTTTTGTTCCGGTTATCCCAAAGTGGCTCTGACTCTGCTCTCTGTTGTAAGTTTAAATACTTGCAATTTTAATAAAATGTTCTTTTCTTTTATGTTCTGTTAATATCTAGTATGGGTTAGGACTCAGATTAGGGTCTTGGCTAAATTTGGGCATATACTCTGTATGTTTATTTAATAGTTGGAATAATTGTTCTAGAATTATTTTTATTGTTAAATTAATTAGTTATGTCGAGAGAAAAATTAATTAATTATTGAAAATTAGTTTTTGCCTTGTCTATGAGGATATAAAATTAATTAAGTCAAACTTTTTTAGAACACACTAATGTTGCCTTGAGAAAGGATAAGTTAATGAAATATTTGTGATAGAAATATTATTATTCCAATTATTGATTAAATATGTGACAACAGTAGTTAACTCACATGATGCCTTGGCCCGAAGTCTAGTCCTATACCCGTACTATTTATTTTCTTTTTCTTAAAAGCACCCGGTAGTTTAGTTTACTTTCAAATCAAATCGAGAAGACTTTCAGACCCGTCCTAACCTTCGTCTAGTTAGAAAAATTAGCTAATTCCCTTCGTCCACTCCTCGAGACACACGACACTCGGAGAAAACTAACCCTTCATTGGGAAGGTTGACTTACCGAAAAAACTCAATCATCAAAGGGCATTCTGCCTTGTGGTAATGTTGCACCAAGGCTTTAACAGCGATGGGTAAAACTTCCCATCGCTGTTTGGCAGGTTCTGGAAATCAGTTTCGCTGAGGGACTGCTTACCCATCGATGGGAAGATCTTCCCATCGCTGGGTGGCATGATTCTGGAATCCCGGGATCACTTACCCATGCATGGGTGAAATCTACCATCGCTGGATAGATGGCTAGTCCAGAACCATGGCTTAGCCGACCGGCACTGAAACCCGACCGAAAAATACAAAGTTCTCCAAAGTAAAAACTAAGTATATAAAACACTTATTTAATGTATTTTGATGTCAAAACAAGCTTTGTAAGTTGAAAACCACGTCGTTAAGGTAAAAACCACGGTTGACCAAGTCAACACCGTACACGGGTGGTTTTCACCAAAAGACCAAACCGAAAGGTGGTTTTCATGATGTTTTGATTGGAGAACCATTTAAATGCATTAAAAAACAATTCCCACACAAAAAGACTTGAAAACCACTTCATTTAAGTAAAAACCACGGCTAGCCAAGTTTATGTCGTTTCGCGTGGTTTTTATCAAACGACAAAAAACGAAAGGTGGTTTTTGAAGGGTTTTTGATGAAAAACTATTTAAATGTGCCCAGAAGTAAAAACCAGTCATAAAAAGTTGAAAACCACTTGGTTAGTTCGGACGCCAAAAACCAACGCCGAAAACCGAACGCCGGATGGCTTGGTTTTTGGTTTGGGCGAACACCAAGTGTTTTTAATGTTTTAAACATGTTTGAAAAACATTTTTATGATGTGTGAAATTCAATGAAAAGAATTTTAGCCTAAAGAGCCAAAGTGCAAAGCTTGGGTCGGTCTTAATCTCATTGTGACCGACTCAACGATGCTAAAGACTACGGTCTTCGTTCTTGATCTCTTTTAGCTCTTGTTCTCTTGCTTTCATCTTATATTTATTTCTCGCCTTGTATATTCAACAACTTGTCTCATTCACGGCGGTTTGGCATTATCAAAACCTGTCATAAAAACGAACACGGCTTAAGTACGAAAACACGTTAAACCCGTGTTTCAACAATTTCCCCCTTTTTGATAATGGCAAACAAGACGGGGTTATGCATAAGAGGATTGATTTGAGACTCAAAAAATGTTCCCCCTTAATAAATGCAATTTTCTTTTCAACAAAGTTTATGTGTTGAATAAGAGTTAGTTTTAGAAAGAGTTCCCCCTCAAGCTATGCATAACCTTTATATCTTCCCCCTTTTGACATTAACAAAAAGAATTAAAAGTAAACTTTTATTCATTAAAAGGGAAATGCGGAATACAACGGATAAAAAAATGCAATCGTATTTAATAAGGAGAAAATAAAGAAGAGGTCGTGGCGTCGGTGTTGGCCCTCTTCTTTGAAGTCTCGTTTTTGGTCCTTGACTTTCCTCTAGCCATTGTTGAAGCGTTTAGAAAGTGAGTAGAGGCTTAAAGTATGCAAAAGGAATGTAAATTGTGTTTTAAAAATGACCAAGGATGGTTAATATTTATAGGAAAAGAGAATTTGGGCCCTTGGTGTTCGAAAATATGTGGCTGTTGGGCATTGAATGAGGTGCCCAACGGCTATGATTTTTGAACTGCAACAGGCTTCCCAGCGATGGTAAGGTTCTCCCATCGATGGGAAGACAGGTACTGGAAAGGGAGGAAAAAGTGAAGGCAGCCTTCCCAGCGATGGTAAGGTTCTCCCATCCATGGGAAGACAGCTACTAGAAATTCGTTAAAAAAATTTTTAAAAAAAGTGTCAAACACCCAGCGATGGGAAGAAGTTCCCATCGATGGGAAGAGGGCTGCTGGTTAGAAAATACTTCCTTCCCAGCGATGGGATAAACCACCCATCGCTGGTTCCCCCTGAGTTCCTCACTTTGATATGTACCTGCAAAAAAGCAACACTTTGGTACCCAAAGTATGTCTATGGGTCCTTGGGGGTTAGTTAACCTTTATTGCCCACACACACACCCAAAATTCATTTCCTAATGCACACACACACACACACGATTAGATGATCGTTTAGGAGTTACCTTGGCCAACCCATTGTCTCGTGGTTGGCGGGTTCCAGTCTACCTGAACGGAGTGCCGATATCTCGGTGTGGTTTGTGTTGGTTCTGGTAACGGAATGTGGACTTTCTTCTTTTCGTCAAAGTAGAAGAAGTAATACGGTTTCTTTTGTGCACTTTTCTGTGGAGATTGCCTATGATACGAATATCCTTTTCTAAAGGATTTCTTTTCGTTAGCACCAAAAATATTGTGTGTTTCATTATAGGTGGAGTGCCTATGTTTGGTAAAACACACGGGAGCTATATGTCCTACCCTATTGCAATAATGGCATACTACGTTTGGGTTGAACATATGCCTAGGTTGATAATAGCTAGGGGGTCTAACCATATTCATCCTATTTTGAGAAAAGGATGGTCTATGCACGTTTTCAAAAGAATCATTTCTAGGTGTCCTCATGTTATTTCTCCTATTTTGAGAAAAATTATTATTATGCACAAAATTATTTTTCTTAGGTTGTCTACCATGAACATTTTCATTCCTAGGTTTTAGTCTAGGTTGTCTAGTGTCCTTAGGTTGACTAGGTTTTCTATTATCCTGATTTTTAGGTTTCTTACGTTGAACCTTAGATGGTTGTCTAGGTGGTGGGTCAACATTTTCTTTAACCTTAGCGTCATTTTTATTGAAACCTATTCCTTCCTTAGAAAAATGCATGGTGTCAAGGAGCAAATTTAAATCTTTGTGCGGAGTATTAAATTTCTTGACCGTACTCTCAAGTTTTGTGACTTGTTCCTCTAAAGCTTTGCAAGATTCACATTCGTTTGAGGAACTTTCTGGTTTGTCGGCGCTTCTTTTGCCATAAAATTTATTCTCTTGTTTTAACTTCTCATTATCTTTTTCCAGATTTTCAAAATCATTTTCAAGAGTGGAGAGGCGTTTCTTTAACGATTTGTTGATTTTAGAAGC